ATGTGCACTGTTGCAGCGCTCCATACATACACCCATCGATGTATATAACCTAATATACTAAATATTAAATTTAAGGGTTTTTATTGCAACCATTGAATAAACGGGGAAGGAAAGGTTATTTTAAGCTTATATATTTCACATAACTATTCAGTTTGACTAATAATAGTTTGACTTGTTTTAAACGTACAAAGTTCAATGATTGGTCAACATTTAAACCATACGTGCTCAGACGCTGCTTAGATTGTATCACATCTTGTAGTAAATATTGTTATCATCCGCCCTCAACAAAATGAGGCTTCAGTTTTTATAATAGAACGAGAAGATAACATGAAGCGTCCAAATATTGAATACTATATTATACTCGTTATCAATTATGTTCAGATTCAACCTTTCGTTACTGTTAGGTAAAAATAAATTAAAATAATATAAGTATTTTATTGTTACCGTCGTTCCAATGAGGTTTTACGTATGCGTTTACAATAAAAATCGTAGCCCAAACCATAAATTCAACTAATCTTCAACGTCAACACAAACACGTCCATTCTCAAATACACGTAAACATACGATGACAGTGAGTTGTCTGGTTTTATGATGTGACACTTTGATTGACAGCTGATCCTTTTCCGTTCAATTATTAACCATAGTCAGATTAAAATTGAAAGATGGTTAAGATGGCCAAATGGTTATTTAGGTAATGAATCACACCAATTCCTTACAAGTGATTGAAAAATTTGTTGCGTCCAAAAAGGGTTTACTTTTCAAAAGTAATTACTTTAAACAAGAAATATAACACAAATTTGTAATTTGTATAATTATTGAGGTAGTTAAATTTACATCAATTGTTGCCGTTCTGGTGGTTAGGATTACAAAAAACTATATTAAAAAGTCACCCTGCATCATACAAATGTAATAGAAGTCAAAAGACAATATATAATGCAGAATGGAATCCAAAAGCATCAAAGCAACGCCTTAAGAAGCTTATAGAAAGCCGATTGAAACTAAAGTATAAAGGTAAAAAGATGGCGGGTTGTTTTCAGCTTACTTTTACTCTATATTTCGTTCTAGGGAGGATTATTTTTCAATTCCTTGCCTAGAGATTTTGGTACTAAAAGACGAAAGTTGTTTTCTTAAAGCTCACACAATATTACTATAAATATGAGCATGAAAGTCGAAGCTTAACGTTTTTAAATTCAAACAAATTATGATTTTGAGTTTATAAATTAGTTGACAATCCATATTCTAAAATAAGAGAAATTGAATAGCATCAAGTAATTAATGCCATCATAGCCATCTCTTAGAGAAGGCTATGATGGCATTGATATTTTGAACTTTTACTGAAGCTTTTTACATACAGCAAATGTATGACTCGTAATAAAAATTAGTTCGAAGGTATGTTAACTATCTGCTATCGACTGAAACTCAATGGTTCAATACGTTCGTGAACACTTTTTTACTGCTACGTTTTACAAGAAATCAACTTTTTCACAAATAACCCGAACATTTGTTAAGGAACTATAATTAGTCTTTAATTTCACAAAATCACAATTTAAATTAGTTATGTGTGGCGTCACAAAAAAGGTATCGTAAGCTTTAAAAATTCTTTCTTTATATAAAAAAACCAGTATCACTACAATCAAATAAATATCTGCTTTCAGAACAGGCACTGACAATTAGGTAGGAAAAACAAAGAGGAGAAATGGAGCTTTATGAAAGAGAAAGAACGAGCGTGAAATCATTTATGACTCAGTCAAAGGAATGCTGAGAATGAGCATTATCATATGTCACAAAGTAACGCTGATACCTTCAAGAATGTTATTTTCTGTTTATTACAATTACAATATGACATTATTGCATTGTAAAGTAAATATGTGTGCTTTACATGGTTACATGGTTAGTAGGATATCTATTGGCTTTATATGTTTTATAGAAATATAATCTTTATAGAAATATAAATATAAATAGGAATAGGAATAGGAATAGGAATAGAAAAAGGAATAGGAATAGGAATAGATATGGGAATAGGAATAGGAATAGGAATAGGAATAGGAATAGGAATAGGAATATGAATAGGAATAGGAATAGGAATAGGAATAGGAATAGGAATAGGATTAGATATAGAAATAGGAATAGGAATAGAAATGGGAATAGGAATAGGAATAGGAATAGAAATAGGATTAGGAATATAAATAGGAATAGGAATAGAAATAGAAATAGAAATAGAAATAGAAATCAAAATAGAAATAGAAAAAAATGAAGAAATTCAATAATGTTATACATTTTTTTGCGCTTTAACTACAAGTGGTGCCCCACTTTTGATAAAAAAACATTATAAAATCTTTTTCCAGGCTTTGTATGTAACAAATTAGCACAAACTGAAATTACCAAATATTTTCAGAATTGCCAATTACTCAGTAATCATTACGGTTTCAAAACAATTAGTACTTGTTTTAAAACGTGAACTTGCTTATTTGTATAACACGTCAAACTTAATAAGCCCCCTAATGTAATTTGAGCGAGAAATTAGAAATAATCGGGAGGGTTGATTCGATAATAAAAACTAAAAGCTTTCAGCGTTTGAACTCCATTTGTCAATATCAAATCATCAACTACCATAGACCCACCATTAGAATTTCCTAAACTTAGTTATAAATGAAAGTAGCGTTTTAATTCCATGAAAGGCGTGGTAAAATTAATTGATACGATCTAAGTTAAGTTCTATAAGGGGAAATAGTGGTAGTCGTAACAATTTCAGCAGGTGTAATTTTATTACATTTAATTATAATAATTCGTCTTTGTAGCTATTAGTTACCTAATAGTTATATCAAAACAGATAGTGTTATATTTTGTGATTCGCTATGGGGAATGAGTCAAGACTCAAAAAGTTCTTTAAGCTAATTCAGATATCAACAAGTATTATTATTGGTTTTAGAAGCCCACATATTTTATGTAATTAAATGCCTAGGCTATAAAATAAATAAACGTATAATTTGGTTTTACAAAACATACTGTACACTGTGATTTGTTCAACCAACTATCTAATTGTCTAAGAAAATAGTCATTGTCTTTGAGGAACAAACAAATTGGAAATTACAAATCAACGAGAGAGGCTTAATTTTGTGTACGTGGAAACCAACCCATACACAAGACGTAACGTTCTTAGTTTAAATACTGTAATAGAGACCACTCATTGAATTTGTTCTCACGAGCTTAAAAAAAGGTAACTCTGAAAGGTCAATTGGGAAGGGTGGAGCCTAATGCTAATGTATCTGAAAATAAGGAACAAAACATATCCCTCTCCAGACATAAGGAAAAATTCCCAAAGTTTCGTGGCGATCTAGGATTTGGTACATATATTTTAGGAGTTCGGTTATGTTTTAAAGTGAACAGACAGACATACATATAATTTTTACTATGTGGGTAAACATTTTTTATTATTTTAACATTTATAAAATTTGTCTCAATTTAATTAACACTAACAACCCTTATTGCTAAAAATGTTTGACGAAGTTTAATCTGTCATACTGTTATAAGGTAGGATATTAGTTTTTATTTGTATCCGCAATAAAGTATTGTAGATCACATATCAGCGACAGAGTTGAAACATAAAACTTTGTTCAGGTTGGATGTAATGATGTGTTTTGCTGAGTAACTTACACTTGACTTCTGAGTCTGCAGTTGATGATAATTAATCTCTACCATATTTGGCACATCACCAGCATAAAGTTCAAATGTAATATTTACTTTGTCATGAATTGATCTTTGAACTCATAATGCTGGAAACGGCTTACTTCAAAGTTCCACAGAACACATTAGGTCAATGATGGTTACTTTTCATTATAATCCTATCAAGAAAACAAATAAATGTAATGGAAAAACGGCATAGAAAATACTACGTACAGTACCTATTGACTTAGTATATTGTAATATTGAATTTGGTAACTTATCCAATTACCAATGTATATTCTTTGTAGTTGTAAAGGATAGGAATTGTATACTGTAATCTTGTATTTCGTATGAGAACCAAAACACAACAATATTATTGTTACAGAAAACAAATTTGTAAGCATTTGTATGGTGAGTTAAAGCTCATATGTTAAGAAATGAGAGTTTTATTTTACACAGAGATTTTTCCAACGAAGGAATGCTGACAATAGCAGAATTTAGAAGGAATCGCTTGACGGAAAGGATTTTCAGAAGTAAAGCACAGGAAGAGGATTATATTGCAGATAAGGATGATTCAAGATTAAAGCTGCTGCAGAGACTTAAATATTCTCACTGAAAGTAAACATTTCATACATTTGTTATCTATGTATACAACTTTTCCTCTCTGTTTATTTTATCGTTTGAGAGCACTTTATACATCTTAATTAAGAACATTAAGTTATTCCAGATTTTCAAACAACACACGTCTGACATAGCCAACATCTATGGCTAAACTAATGTTACCAACCTCATCGAATTATTCAATTATAAATGTAGAAAGCAAAAATGACTTCTTTAGCACTTAATTACTCATGTTACGTTTTACAACATTACAACATGCATTAGGATATAAGTGAAAACGGCTGTCTGTAAGGCTTAAAAACGCAGACTGATCAATGTGGTTAAAGCCATATCGAGTAATACTATAGTTAAATTTACATGTCGAAGCATACTAACGAAATCATTGTTGAAAGAACAGGCTCGTGTCCCTGGTTTTAAACTAAGTTGTTTTGAAAATGATTGATAGCGTTTCTAAAAATGAATATAACATGTACTTGGATAACACGTTGCATTCGAATAAAATCCAAGCCCATTTCAGAAACAATAGAATTTTTTCAAAAACAACGTTGCCAACTACAAACACACGTTGTAATCCAACACATAAATTGATATTGGTATTCAATGTTTACTCCTACACAGTACTTTTCTTGTTAAATTAAATTCTCACAGCAGAATAGTTGAAATTTTAGGTTCATTGATTATTATAATGTACAGAATAACATGTTATTATTACTTACATTGTTTTTATTTTGTAGTATCTCGTTCTCAGTATTTTCTGAAACAAAAGGTAAATGTTATTTTGATTGTATCATTACTATCTGTCAGAGCCACACTTTGCTGTATTCGCAAAAGGTTAGGTTTCATAGTAAAACAATATAATCGAACGCACAAAAATTTACTATTTTCAATGTAGATTTGTTTTATTATTTGAATAACACGGATTCCGAAAAATGTCGATTAGAGATTCGAAATCCGATTTTAAGTAGTCTTAACCTGTCATAGGCATATGATTTTCTCTTGCAAAAAACTCTTGTTTTGAACATATTAGTAGAGGGCAGTATCTATAGTCAATGAAATATTTAAAAGAAACATCTGTTGGCAACATGCCAATGTGTGATAACAGTCAACGTTAATGTGATTAATGTTACCAGCTGATGGTAGGATTTTATGTACATAAGAATAACATAACCCAGACTTAATGATAAGAAAAACAATATACATGTATGCTTTTATGACTCATATATAAGTTTCAAATTTTATTGCAATAGTGTTTATGTAAAAGGCTTTGTGGTTATGTATGTGCTATGACCCCGATTTGCAAGAAAATCTAAACAAGTAAGTAAAGTGGAACACTTGTTCAATGTGATTATTTAACAATTAGTCCAATTTGAGTTGCTAAGGCACCTAAGTAATCTTGTTAACTACAAAGATAGGTAGGAAGGAAAACGGAGATAATACACTCAAGCAGAGAAACTCAATTAAACAAGCAAAAATATACTTTTAGGAAGATGGTAGTCGTATTATCTTGTGTCCTTGATAGCTTTGAGCTTTTGTGCAACTGTTATTGGGCTTTCAACTCGTAAAATGCTTAAGAAAAATAAAAACCAAAGGGATGAATTAAACCTAATCAGTGTCGGGGGAAAGATAGAATATTAAAACACCCTTTACGAACGGAACAGAGCTGTGAATAAGTTGTTGTTATCGTAAACACTTTTTGTAGGTGGATAGTATACATTTGCAGTGAAAGTTAGTACACCGTATACAACAGAATACGATGATAAACATATAACAAATAAAATGTTGCAATACATAATTGTTTATCGGCACTAATTTCTTCGACCAACTTAATTAATGGTTGAATTTTATAGAACATGTGTAAAGATGGTGTCCACTACTCCAGCTTATTAAAACCACGTTTTTGCTGCATCATGACGAAACAATATTTTATTTAAAAACTCTATGATTAGAATATGGAATGTTTATAGTAATGGAAAAGATATTATGTATTCTCGATTCTGCATAAATTGTATTTAAATTGTCTTATCTTTGGCGCAAATATAGGCCATCCGGAGGTTTTTAAGTAAAACTTTTGTGGATAATTAGCCAGTTTGCACATCAGCTTTTTATTTCAAATTTCTACTACACCAATGTCTGATGTAACGTTCGAGTTGGTATAACATTCCATGATAAATTAAGGGTCATAAATGTTCGAACAGTTTAGACATTCAAAACATATGATTTACGCTGCAGTCAAATGACGTACATTACAGCTGAGCTAAGTTGTGGCGCCTTCATTAACAGGATACAGCCCGCCACTCACGGAAGTGTATTGATTGCCTAGCCTGCAGTAATACAGGCGCGCCTAGGTTAGAGAATTAATACGATGTTTTACTCGACGATAGTATTAATATTTTACACTACTATACCACTGAAAATTAAAATGTGTACACAACGTTTTACCAACGTATATCTGTCTCTTTATTTGTTGAAATTTCTATACCAAGCCCAATCTGATATATTCTTACTCACTAAAATATCCACAGCTAAATGTATAAATAATAGTTTTCCGTGGTACTAGCACATTAAAATATGAATACCTGTTAAAACACTTCTCAAAGAATGTATTATACGTAAAATAATGTAATAAATAAACAAAGCTTATTAAAAACCTTTTTATTGCGAAAAAAGAAAAATACCCCCGCCGCAGCAAACCTGCAGACTAAGCGAATTTCCATTATCCTGATTGTATTTACACTAAAATGCCTCCATAAAAATAGCACATTTATTTCTATTTAAATAGAATTAGTTTAACGAGTACTTAGGTTTGCTGCAACAGGGAGGGTAAAAAATTTTTTTTTATAAAATGATAATAGTTTAGTGAGAAATAAAAGTATTTTCCAAAATCGATCAAAATATGTTCATAAACAAGCAAACTACAACAGTTGACTTATAGTCCAGGCGCTAAACGGGTTGAGTATGCACTGAAAGTCTGACAAAATTTGACTTTTGATTATTGTTGGGGACATCTAGTAGATGAAAAAAATCGATGATGTCGCATTTCTAGGGTGGTCACAACTCGGGGGGGAGGGGGGGAAGTTGCGCGGGTCATCGGTTTACGTTTCCGCGTCTAACTCACAAACGGTGAATGATAGAAAGGTGAATTAAGCGTCTATCTACGCCTAAACATATTGTCTTTTAAAAAGGTTATTACAACCTTTCTTCTATCTCTTATACTTTAGGCGCTAATCAACATTTATTGCAAAAAATAAAATTTAAAAATACTTAAAAATGAAATATCGGAAATATTGCGCTTGTTTAGGGCATGTTACAAACTATTTATGGTTAGAAAAACTAACAAGTAGTACAACAACACCAAGTTTAAAGAAATCCGTGCAAAAACAACAGAGCTACGTTGATTTTAGTGAGTAAACGTGGAAAATTCGTAGTAGTACCGAGGCGCGCATGAACGGTACGTAGCCCAGAGTCGATATAGGTTTGATGTTGTAAGTAACTATGGGAAAGCTGAATTTTTCTATGCTGTTAGACCATGTTCAGATGAGCATTTTCCCAAAAGTCCCCACTCCTACCCCTTTGTGCTTTCCTCTACCCCCCCCCCCCTTTTAGATAAATTTACAGTCTCTTAGAAATTAAACTATAACTTTAAAACAAGTAAGGATAATAACGCAATATTTTATTAATCATTTTGCGTTACGATATTCTACAACAAGTGTTTACCATGGTATCCTAAATATTCATAGTAAAAAAATATCATAAACATAAAAAAATATTTTTTACGGATTAATTTATGAAACTTTTCTTTGTAGATTTTTTACACGAGGTCGCACAACAAAATGTTTGATACAAAATTTGGGGTGCATAGTTTACATTTGAAAATGATACATAGTTATTAACAGTTTGTTTGCATATAGTAGCTATAGATAGTACAGTATATTGATTTTACAGGATTCAGGCTTTTTTGTGTACCGCAACAATGAAAAAAATTACGTATATTATGGTTTTTGTATTTGAATTTGCCGCTTTATATAGATTATATTAACGTTATGTAGCTCATTCAGTACATATACAGACTGTAGTGGATACATGAATGAATATCGTGCATTTGCTGCTGTACGCCAGAGCCTCATTTTATTATACAGGGTGTCTCACCTAAAGTGAACCAATAGATAACTTTTTTATTATGAGATATAGAGTTAACTTCTTATGGGACACTACCCTTTATTTTAAGATGTTTTTTTTAGTGGTTTCGAATTTTAAAAATATGTTCGCCATTTTCCAATATGGCTGACAACTTTGTTAGTCCTATGGAATACCCTGTATTTTATGATTGTTTGAGAATGTAAACGCACAACTTTTAAACCTTTTTATTCTTGACATTTTTCTCTAAAGCTACTTGTTTAGGAGTTACATCGAAAAAGAAATGGTTTGTGAGTACATCCTGCATCCTCACAGCTCATAAACGTAAGTTTAAGAGCGGAAATACAAAGAATAAACAATTTTTCAAATCACATCTACATTTAAAAAAAACCATAAAATAAATTGTTCCAATATCAAAGTAAGCTAGCATTTTTGAAAATGGTGGCCATTTTTAAAACAACAAAATCAGTATTTTTTTACGTATTTTATATATTTTGTTTTACGAGAACTTATATGTGACTTATTTATTCTTTGCACTTTCTCTCTCAACTTACTCGTTTATGAGCTACAGGATGCCGAATGTACACCACAAGCCTTTCTTTTAGATATAACACGCTGTAACTCCTAAATGGGGTAGGTTTAGAGAAAAAATGTCACGAATAAGAAAATAGCTTTTAAATTGTAAAAGAATACTAAAATACAGCGTATTCCATAAGAAATAACAAAGTTGTTGGCCATTTTGGAAAATTGTGGATATATATTTTTTATTCGTAACCATCCCTAAAAACATTTTTTACAATTAAAAGGGGTCGTCTAATAAAAAGTTAACTCTATATGGAAAATAAAATTTGTGTATGTTCACTATGTAATCTCAACCGGGATGAAACGTGTACCCTTTTATAGCAGAATCTCCAATTTTAAAAAAAAGATACGTCAATTTTGGTCTAACAAGTTATATTTAAATGAATGAGTTTTTTTGAATTTTTAAATGGCAAAGATTGGCGGGCACTTGGAAATTTTCTTAAAGAGGCGTGGAGTAAAGGGTGGGAATCGATAATGGAGTATAATTATTAAATTTAAGAATTGAGATATCGATACAAAAATTGGAAAAATCTATGTAATTTAAAAAATTTATAAAATATTGTTTGTTAAGTATCTATAAAAGTAAATTATAAAAGTAACAGGTTTGTTTTATGAATTATTAACTGTTTGTAGGAAAAATTCAGATTCTCAGTAGGCTACATTTAAATTTTATTATTCATTCAATTGTTATCTGATCTTTATTAGTATGTAGTGCTATTTGTGTATGTTCTGTAGTGGAAATCAGTTTATTTTATGAATAATTGTATGTGATTCATGGTATTTTTTTTAAACGGTTTTAAAATATTTTAAAATCAGTGTGTCTAACACAAAACAGACGGTCTTTGACCATTGTTCTTTGCATTTAAATAAAAAACACTGTATTGATATTTTATTACAATGAACACATCTTCTTCTTCTTCATCATCTATCTTCTTCATCATTTATTCATCTAATAATTCTTTTCGTAGATTATCGTAACGCAAAATGATTAATAAAATATTGCATTATTATCCTTACCCGTTTTAAAGTTATAGCTTA